AAACAAAAGACATGTGAGAAGTCCCACATCAGATAAAGTTAGGTTTGATAATTAATATATAATAAAAAGAAAGAATGTCACATTTTAACTCAAAACTAAAGACTCAAATTTATAAGTCTTTTCTCTTTATTATATATTAGTTATTAAGTCCAACTTTATCCGATATGTGACTTCCCATATCGTCTTATATCCACTCACATTTGGACAACTTAACAATTTTTCCCTCAAGTATGAGTCCACAAACTCCCCATATCAAATATGCCCTACATACCAAGTCTCTGTTTTTTATGGCCAGCCTAGTTTTCGAGCTTTAAAAGATATGGCGCACGCCAATCCTTATTGCAATTAGGGCTAGTCCCATTTTAAACTTCAAATGTATGCACAATAATGGGCTTAGAAGTCTCGAGCGAAACCCAACTTTGATACCGCTTATTAGGAAGTGTGCCAATAATCAGTGGAAGTAAAATGTATAAAATAATTGAAAATTATAGAGAAGTTAAAGAAAGTGATAAAATATGACACATGAAATTTAACATGGAGAAACCCCTGATTTGAGAGACAATTATTGCAATTCCCATTTTCTGTAGTGAAATTACTCGCTCCTTACTCGTGAGTTTTTTATCCCTCAAATTGGGGGTTTTCCCACGTTGAATTTCTTATGTCATCTTTTATCACTTTTTTTAATTTCTCTATAATTTTCAGTTGTTTTATCTTGTTTATTTTTGTTAATTATTTGCACACTTAACAAGTTTGAATTTGCAGCACAAAACCAAAGGAAGTGTTTGGCAGTAGCATACTTGCATACAAGGAAAAGCTACTAAAAGTTGTTCCTCATGAATGGTATCAGTTGCAAAAATTCTTTGGTTCCGAGCTTCCCAAATTTTCCAAGATAGAATACTTATACCCACTTTCCAAGATAGAACACTTTGTAAGGCTACTACTAGGATTAAACAACATTTTAAAACCCAGTCACTTCAAATTTAGAACAAAATAAAAACATGGCATAGTACAGAATGGTCTATTGGGAAGAAAAAAACAAGGAAGCCGCCTGGTTCATCAGCATAACAGAACAAAGAAGGCAAGGAAAAAGGCACAAAAATTGAGAGTAGAACGAGCACGATATACTTGGTTTGCGAGCTTGATGAGCAGAATGAGCTCGATGAATTGACAGACAGGATGAATTAGATGCACGAAGTGATTTTTCCTACTCTGAGCTTGAAAATGTCTTCAAAATACAAGAAGCACCTCGATCCGTGGTAGAATGAAGGTTGCCAGTGTGTGTGGCCTTAGATTTGTCGAAGTTGGATGAAGAACACAAGAACAGAGCGATGAGAGAAGAAGAGCATCTCGCAAATGGAAGAAACTGAGGGAATGAACTCCAATTTATGGTCATCGGACAAGGGAGCAGTGATGGTGAGTTGAGGGAGACAGTAGGACGAAAGAACGGCGACGATGAGTTGAGAGGATGAGAGGATAAACACACGATAGAGAGAATCCGAGACGGAGGGACTGTTTGAAGTTATGTGCCAACCAAAAGATATCATGGTTATTTAAAAACATTAGATACACAATTATTCTTCTCATAATTGTTCCCAACTCTAAACTCCATTTGAAATTCATAAAAAAATATACTTTTAAAATTCACATTTTAAACCCATCTTAACTCACTTTTTAAAAGTCATTTTGGTCCTTAAAAAAATTATCCAAACAACATTCCAAAAGTTTAAAAGTTCATTTTAGACGGGGAATGTGTGAAAACCAAATACACCCTTAATCTTTCAAGAATACTGATTGAGATCCTCAGGAGCAATTATTCGCAGATGCCTGTTGGTGAGCACCATGAACTTGCGTGAAAGATGGGTGATGATAAAATGGGACTTTCAAATTAAAAAATCATTTTATTTTTTGCCAACAAAAATCATTTTATTTATAATAGCTTATCGACAGTTATTCAACTTTTTTATTAAAAAAATTATCAGTATTTCTTTTAGATTTGAAATGTAGAACTAATTCTTCCTGTACATTTTTAACTACCTAGTGAAATATGTGAGAAAATTAAGGAAAGTATTTTATTTCAAAAATTTAAAGTATTTTTTGAGGGATTTGATGTTAATATAAGGTATTTTTAATTTTTTAAAATGTAATTATTATGTTTTTTTTCTAAAAGTATCCCTATTGAATAAATCACTTTATATTTATTTTAAAATGAAACATCTTATTAAATAATGACAAATATGAAAAGAGAAAGTTAATTTTAAAACAAGTAACTACTTTATTAGGAGATAAAATTTAATTAAAAATATTTTATATTTTTTAACTTTAAATGAAAAGACTATGTGATTTTATTCAGCGAAGATGAATGTCACTTTTCAAAAAATCATGCAACACGGCCGGGGTAGTCAAATTGAGCAGTGGGTCCTTCTCTTAGGTTTAGCTGGATCAATGGTGATGTTTGGCAGGATAGAGTCGTTTTCAAGGGAAATGGAAGGGGCGAGGCAGAAGATAATGTTCAATGGGTGATTTCCAAAATTGTGTTTGGCCGGATTAGGAATGAATAAATCATAAGAACTTACTTTTGCGACGAAAGTTTGGAATGAAGTAAAAAAATTTGAAGAAAAAAAACATCACCCATATTCTAGGAACTCTGGAGTATTTCTATCACCTCCAAAACTAATATAAATCTCTGTTGTGTGAGATCGTCATCAGCGATAATTTCATAGACATTTCAAGAATTTCAAGAATAGTTTTGACATATTGATTTAATATGATTTTATATTCAAGAATTTGAATTCAAATTTCAAAACAAGTTGATTTAACTCTCCTAACTGGTTAAACAGCATGTTCCTTGGTAGAGTCTTTTTATTTAAATATAAGAAAAAACTACTCATTATCTTTTACATTTACTAAAATTTTTCTCCTTTTTTATCCTCATTAAGTTAGCATAATTAAATTAGGATCCTTAAATACGAAACCCAGCTGCCACGCAAAAAAAAAAAAAAAGATAAGGGCATTTTGGGGGAAAATAAATCTTAAGTTATTTGTTAATGTTAAATGTATTTTCTTTTTTGGCTAAAAAAACTGTATTTTTTGATTATTTATTTCTCATAAAAAATCCAAGAAGAAGTAATTAAGAAAGGAAAGCAAAAGGTCAACGTGGCATTTAAACAGCGTGAATATTTCTCATTATAGTGATTTTGAAAAAGGAAAAATTAGTGAAAAGGACTTAATTGAAATATAAATTATGCTTAAGGACCAAGTTGAATTTAATGACCAAACTAAATATTTTATTCATTAAATAATATGAACAAATGATTGACTGAAATGCCCTTCTGTTTAAACCAATGAGATTGAAAAAATAAAGGCTATTTGTTTAACATGTGCACTCTTAACCAAATCCCTTACACTCAAGTTAGAAACCTTACACCTTAAATCAAAATATGAGCACACTAAGGTAGAAGCCTTGCACTCGAAGCAAGACTTCTAATTTGGAGTGTAAAGGTTTTGATTGAGATGCAATGGGTCTATCTTGAGTTACAAGTGTTCTAGTTTAAGGTGTAACACTTTTTGTTTGGGTGTAAGGGATCTTTTAAGGTGCAAGGGATTTGGCTTAGGGTACACTTGTTGAACAAAATGTTATTTTTTTCTTCAATTTCGTTGGCTTAAATAGAGAGGCGTTTTGGTTATTTGTTCAAATTATTTAATGAATAAAATATTTAACTTGATCCTTGGGTGCAATTTTTCTTTCAACTAGGTCTTTTTCATCAATTTTTCTTTTTGAAAATCATTAGTGCTATTCCAATATACAAATTAAAAAAGAGTGCTGATTTTTTTTTCTATAAAAAGAATTTAAATATTTATATAAAATAATATTCATTTTTAAACATTTAAATATTAAAATGTTTTAGATCAAGAAGGGATAAAATATTCAAAAAGTTTATAACGTAGAATAAAATTGGCATTAGAGTAGTTGAATCAGTATAGCAGAACCTTCATCCATACAAAACAATCTCTCGTCCTTTATTTGAATCTCTCTTCATCCATGCGAAACATGGCCTTGCAGTCTACTTTTTGACTACTATCTTTTTTATTGGAGCCAATAACATAAGACGCCAAATGTAATTCTTCCAGCATTTAAACTTAGCTCATCACATTATCAAAGACTAGTTTCTCCACGTTAAACTCAATTTTTCGTTGATACCTTGCAGTCTATTTATTAAAGTATTTGAATCAATAAAGGAAGGCCTTGTAACTCATTTGCAGTTTAGCACGAATCTTGCTCTTGCTCTTAATAGAATATGAATCATTCCAATAATCAATGTTATAGTGTGAGTTTTGCTCATAAATAGCATTATTTTCTATTATGAGAAATTTTATATTTTACAGTGTCGTCTGCTTACTCTTGGGTCCCATGGATGCGTGAGTTGTCAAGTTGAGCAATTTAGGGAGGTCAGAGGGGCTAATACTTACAGGATCAAGTCAATCTATCCATGGACATAAAATAATGGGTATGCCACCCCAAACAGGAGCTGCTTCTTCTTCTTCTTGAGTCCATTCTATTATACCATTTATATGTTCCTCTAGGTTTTTGAAAGTGGCGGTGTCAAACATGGACACTGCACCAGAATTGATGCTGCTTTCACTTGCTTTCTTCTCCATTCCTCTTCAGCATTCAAGCTTGGTAGCCTCTGCTGATTCAGGTAAACAAATTTTACTTTTCACCTTTACTTCTCCCCGTTAATTACTTACATTTTAGTCCCTGGATCATATAATAGCTTCTTTCTGATTTGTCATATGTGGGTGTGTTTCTATTATGTTTTATAGCTAAATCGTTTTGGTAACTTGTTGGACTTGAGCATCCATAGGTTACATAAGCATTGATTGTGGGGCAGAGGAGGTCCACACTGAGTCACTGACAGTGACATCAACATTTGGTACCAAACAGATTCAAGATTTACAGAAACAGGCCAAAATCACATTTTACCCTCAGGTTACAGCTTTGATCAACCCCAAATGTCGAAGCAACTCGACCCTCTGAGAAGCTTCCCTGATGGAGTTAGGAACTGCTACACCCTCACTCCCAAACAAGGTAAAAACAAGTACCTAATCAGATCTTTCTTTTCTTACAGAAACTACGACTTGAAGCATACACCACCGTCTTTTGACGTGTATCTCGTTGTGAATCATTGGAACACCATTGAGTTTGGAGATCTCTACATGTATTTTCCTATTGAAGCCACTCATGTTGCCTTGTCAGACACCATAAGTGTTTGTCTTGTGAATATTAGAAAAGGGGTTCCTTTCATTTCGTCGTTGGAATTATGACTTCTCAGTGATTCCACTCATCGAATCTCCAGTTCGTTTCCGGTTGATCTCAACACACGATCAACCTTTGGCATGTCTGAAGATACCTTGTTCACCAGGCAAGACAACACTACATCTGTAAAAAATAATACAAGGGAGCTGGTGAGGATATTAGGAAGGTTGTGAAAAAATTGAACTTTTGGTTCTGATTCTGATCTGTAAATTCAGGTTTGGGGATGATGTGTATGATCGTGTGTGGTTTATAGAATAATCGGCAATTCAAAGGAAATATCCACATCAGCAACTATTGTTCTAGTGGAATAGAAAATACTAATTAACAGCCAACACAAGTATTGAGGACTGCAATACAATCTCTGAGTCTCAACTCTTCCTTGGAAATCCACTTCGATAATCATACTGGTATTTCCTACGTGTATTATGTTTACCTTTGAATTTGAGCAGCAAGAAACATCTAAGAAAAGGATCATGGATGTTACTTTCAATGATAAGAGCATCCTCACAGAGCCCTTTACTACTCAACATCTGAAGCTAGTCACAATCGTTCAGAATATCACACAAGCAGACCATCTTCGTATTGTGATCAAACCCACACCAGAATTTGATTTACCAGCCATGATTAATGCATTTGAGGTTTATAGAGTACTAAATCTACCTGATTCAGGAACTTATCAAGAAGATGGTAACTTATTATTATTATTTTTTGTTATTGTTTCATTTAATGCATTTGCTTTTATCAGAATGGACAATCATCTCAGTTTTTCTGCGCATGGATGGACATATAGCACAGTCCCCCTTTTGTACAGGGATGAATAGTTGATGGGCGCTTGGCTCAATAACACTTGACTGGGTCATGGTTAATTAATTTTGCCCCTATCTAAATTCACATAAACCCAACTACTTAGTAAAAGCGGTAATTTGAGCCAAATTTGACGTGCTAACTTGAATAAATCCAAAAAATTTTAGGGTTGAACTTGGAAGTTTGAAAAATTTTCTTTCCTTTGGACTTATTTGGACAGTCCAAATAAACCCGAAGAAATCTAGGCCAAGCTTAAATGCCCGAATTCATTTTTTATTATTAACATAATATTAAAATAAGATACAAATTGAAAATATTAATTTTTTAAAAATAAAAATTGAAATTGGATAAAAAATAAAAATAAAATAAAAGAATATTTTAAAATTTAGGTATTCAAGCCAACCCAAATAAGCCAGAAAACTCGACGGGTTAGAGCTGAACTTGGCTATATGATTTTTTTATATGTTTTTAAATAAGGCTGCCCTGGCTGAATTACTGGCTCTACTACTTAATGTGTGTTTGGCTACCAGTTTCTTGAAAAGCAAATTTATTTCCTGTTTGAAAAACCCAGATTTTTGTTAATCTTCCATTTTGCAAAAGTCAGTTTTAAATCACTCAAACAAGCATGCATTAAAACTGGGTTTGTAAAAAGTCAATTTAGGCCTTTTAACTGATAGCCAAACATACAGTGCATTTTGTCATTTCTTCATTGGCTCTCTTCCTTATTGCTTGAATTTATTGAACCACTGAAATTGCTATTTTTGATGAAAACAACAGCTGATGCTCTTTGGAGTATTAAACATATTTATGAGATCCCCATCATGAATTGGCAAGGAGACCCTTGCATTCCAAATCATTTTGCTTGGGAAGGGCTCACTTACACCTCTGATGGCAATCCAAGGGTCATTTCACTGTGAGTACTATTCTGCTCCTCTTTTGAAACATCCAGGTTGAAAGAGATGCTTAACCTTTGAAATTTCAATGGACAGTGTTGGCTTCCAAAAGTTATAACTAAATAAAGATTTATATCAGATGAAATAATGATAACATTTTTGCAAGTGATGATATATCACTTTGCTTTCAGTTGATTAGATCAACAATCTTAATTACTGCATTATTGCCGGAAAATTTCTTATGTGGATCTGGTCTATAAAAGATTCGCACACACACACGCTCGCACGCATCAAACTAGTTATGAATGGACATATGAATATGCTAGATGAATTTTTCAGTGGTAACCATCTTTTTTTGGAGCAACAGTGGAAACCATCTTAGAAATGCTTATATTTTTCTTGAGCTATCTTTCCTTTGTAAACATTACATAATCTCTTATAGCAATGCATTTCAGCTCCTTCTTCTTTATGCATACATAACTGGTTCTGTTTAAGATGAAAAGAGGATCACTCTCCCTAACATTCTAGCAGGAACTTGAGTTCAAGGGGACTAACAGGGCTGATAGATGTTTCATTTTCAAGATTCACTAAACTACAATCCTTGTAAGTTTTAGTGCGTTTTGACACATGCCTTCTAGGTTTTCAATTTCTTTCCACAAGGCTTCAGAGGCTGTCGACTTATAATGTTTGCACTCCACTCTTCTAAATAATTAATTCTTATGTAGGAATTTTTTTCTTTGGTTTATCTTATGTAGGGATTTGTCATGTAACAAACTGAACGGAGAAGTGCCAGAATTTTTTGCACAGTTATCAAATCTGAAATTCCTGTAAGATACATCTTCTATCATTCCCATGGTCCTCATCCATTTCTTTCCGTCATATGCATCACAAAGTCTCTATAGTAATTTGACAGGGAATCAGCTCACAGGTTCAGTACACAAATCACTGTTGCTAAAGTCAAATACCACTCTTTCATTGAGGTTTGTTTATTTTCTTTGAAGTAATTCTAAGACAATCAAGCAGTTTCTTCTTAGAGTTAGCAGTCTCCGCCAGTGCAGTTCCGTTATGTGATATCAATGCCAAATTGTGGTCTCTGATGTCCATATGACACTCTTGCATATTAAAGTTGTCTTCTTTTTTGGCTAGATTGGAAAGAAATCCAGGTCTTTGTCTGGCTGGATCATGCAAGACAAAGAAGTTTCTTGCTCTACTCATTGCATCCAGCATTTCGCAGTTCTAGTAATGATTGTCCTTATTTTCTTGATGATCCGGAGAATCAAGATAGAAAAAAGGAGGTATATATTTTCCTTCTTTTTGAATATTTGGCAGTATCTGCTGCAACCATAATTTTGTTTCAATCATGCCTCTGTGAACTTGTAGTCCTTATAGTTCGTCTACATTTAGCAATATTGAATTCAATATCAAAGAAATATGATTTACTAAAGAACTGCGTTTTTTTCCTCTTTTCTTTTGCAGTTCAACTTTGCCGTAGTGTCATATCTGTCCTTGGATGTAGTCATCATTACAGTTCCGATTTGCTTTCATGTCAATTTCTATAGAGTTCACTGAGGAAAAGAAAGAGACTAGACTAATGCAATGTTTGATATGTAGAAAAAATGTTTTCTAGAAAGGAAGTGATAAATGCATTTATCTCTTCTTTTATTTTCTAGGTATATTCTTGATTTCCTTTCTTGAAAACACTTTTTCGCTTATCAAACATGCGCTAAAGGTCTCCATTTCCATTTTGAAAGTTCAAGCGTGTGTGTGTGTAGTCTTTTTTTTTTTTTTTTGAAGAAATATTGAGAATGGTGCGATTATAATTATTCGCACTGCTGCTGTGATGTTTGCATCATCTAAGAAATATGGGAAAGAGAAATCAAACAATCACGTATTCTTTTTAAGGGATGTTATTAGAATTACCAATAACTTCAAAACTAAAATTGGAAAAGGAGGATTTGGAGAAGTTTACTTTGGTACTCTGCAGGATGGTAGAGAAGTTGCTGTCAAGCTACTTTCTCAGACATCAAGGCAAGGAGATAGGGAGTTTCACTCAGAGGTTTGAAGCGACAATCATAAGCCTTCTGCAGATTTCATTAATCAGATTTTCTTTTGCTTAATATTTTTGTTTAGCAGACAAACACTTCAAAATTTTCAACATTTTCCTTATATGCATCAAGTTAAGTTCAAATTGCGGGTAAGTTTGTTAACTATCGTTTACCATAAAAACCTGGTTTCTTTTGTTGGCTACTGTGACGAAGGTGATGTGAAAGCATTGATCTATGAATATATGGCTCAGGGTAATCTGCAAGGGCTATTGTCAGGTTAGTTATGCAGTGATCAAAAGGAAAATTGTGCATGAATTTATACTTTGCTCTATTGAAGCGAAATGCTTCAAATTACCTCTCTTGGAAATTATTTTTAGGTTAATGAAGATGTTTTCTTTCTCTACTTTGAATGAATTTAAGACAAATATTCTGATTTGGAAGTGTAATAAAGTATATTTTAAGAGACACAAACTTTCCTTGAAGATGTGGCTTGATATGTATGCTTTTCTTTTCCTGCAATCTGCAGAGAGAAACCCAAATGTTTTGAATTGGTCTGAAAGACTTCAAATTGCTGCGGATGTTGGTAAGTGAATCCCCACTTTTCTTCTTCATGGCTTCTATTTTGCTTGTCCTCTGATCATTATCTCTGTACTAACCAGCAAAAGGTGTATGGTGCTTAATGGAAACGCAGGATTGGATTATTTGCATAATGGTATTAGGCCACCTGTAGTTCATAGAGACTTGAAGACTACCAATATTTTACTGAATGAAAAGATGCAAGTTAAGATTTCTGACTTTGGCCTTTGTAGATCTTTTGCAAATGAAAATGACAATCATATACCAACTGTACTAGCTGGCACGTTCGGTTATCTTGATCCCCATTAAGTAGCATAGTTTATAAGTTTCTTTAGAGCAGGTCTTGGTTAATTGGTTTATGCATAAATGAACAGAGGGCACATATAGCAATATATTATGATAGTCAATCACAGATAACATCCCATGCTTTTAACATTTACTTGAAATTCTATAAACATGATGTGAAAGCATAGAGTCATCTATCCTCTAAGTAAACTTTATATAATGATGAAAAATGAGACGCCAAGGATAAAACTTTTGACTTCTTATTTTACTTGTAGGTTTTGAAGCACTCGAAAGTTGAACAAAAAGAGTGATGTCTGTAAATTTAGGATAATTTTGCTTGAGCTAATCACAGGACAAAGTCCAATAAAAGGAGTCATTTGGAAGCAAGAGTTGCTTACTTCATTGGGTTAATCGTAAAGTTAAGAATGGAGATATTAAATCCATAGTTGATCCAAGGTTACAAGTTACAATACAAGTTCAGCCTCGAAACTTGTAGAGATCGCCATGTCCTGCGTTCTACCCAAAGCAATCCAAAGGCCTGACATTAGTGAACTATTTAACTGAGCTCAAGGTCTGTTTGGGCTTGAATCAACAGAAAGCCCATACTCGTGAAAGATCTGTGATTAGCGGAAGAAGGCCCAGCAATTCATTGGATGTGGGCTCTCTAAATTCTCTTGGGCTTGAGTCAACCACAGGCCCATACGCTAGATAAGCTTATTACAGCCTGCAATTGTCTAGTCTCGTGTTCGTGTTTTCGAAATGTTGATTTGAGTTGGCTGCTTGTTTATTGTTTACAGTAATTCTCATTCTAGTGACATGTCTGGATAAGTGGCAGACTAATCCACCACGGAATTTCCTTTCATTATAATTAAAAAAAATAAATTATCATATCAAAATAATAAAAGAACACTACCAATTCATTGAACATTTATATAATGTATACACAGTGATATTGATGATTAAATAATCTATTTTTATTGGTTTAAAGCAATATTATCTCTTTTACTCTTACTTTAAAAGATAATTTAAAAAATTTGTAAAAAGCTTCGACATTTAACTATCTTTAACTAATTTCTTTAATTTCAAGAACACAATTTAACAGGGCCTTATAAAAAGAAATAGAGAGAATACAGGACACTATTTAATTATCTATATTTTACGTTGAGATGCTTATAACAAATCTTTAAACACTTCTCTCTCTATAATTGTTTTATCCACAATTGGTGTATATAACATCAAAACTTAAGCCATTGACCAATGAAAGTGGTGGGTAGATTCATCACTTTGGGGAGATAAAATTCAGAATGTAAACGAGTATCTATCTAGCAGACAGAGCACTGAGCTGTGAATCAAACTGCCCTGTGCTCATATCCATAGAACTACTTGAATTGGGATTGTCGCTGGTCCTTCCCATTCTTATCTCCATGCCCAAACAATCCCTTAGTTCAACTACCACTTGAGTTATGTCAGGCCTTTGAACCGCAGATGGTGCAGTGCATGACACGGCTATGTCTAGAAATTTCCAAGCACTGTCAACATTGTATTGTCCTTGTAACCTTGGATCAACAATGGACTGAATATCCTTGCTTTCAACTTTAGGGGTAACCCAATGAAGTAGGAGAGTCAAGGTATTGTCTGCTCTTCTTTTTGCTGCTGGTTTCCCAGTGATTAATTCTAGCAAAATTATTTCAAAACTATAAATATCACTCCCTTTGGTGAGGTTGCCGGAATTTTGAAACCTGTGAAATTGTAACTAACATGGTTACATCTCAAGAAATACCTCTCCGTTAATAATTTTCTATTCAATCTTGCGTCCAAGTCGAAACAAAAGAATACAGAGGAATTAGTTTAACTTGGATTAATTTGAGGTAGTCAAAACTAAACTATAAACGAGCTCGATTTGTCCTTGAATATTATATATATATATATATATATATATATTCCTTCCAAATCATAATATAAGTAATAGTTAATTAATTCATAATTTACGAACAATGTTAGTTTAAGTCTTAAATTTTTAAAAATGTCCACATTTTTTTTATTTATACTCTCATTAAATACCCAATATTAAAGCCTTAATAATAGTAATTAAAATTTTAATACATGATTTTTTTTCAAAGAGTAATAAATGAAATAGAGGTATAGTTAAAAAAATAAATATAAGTTATCTAATGCCTTATATTTTGAACCTGATAAAATTTCTAAAAAATGCCTTATATTATGATTTGGAGGAAGTATATATATATATATATATATATACTCTATAAATATATATCTATAAATAAAATATTTACTTTTCAATTGATTTTTTTTTAAATTACATACTCAGGATCAAGATAGCCAATTGTTCCAGCAGGACGAGTTGAGACGTGACTATCAATATCATTTGCAAAAGCTCTAGACAATCCAAAATCAGCAATCTTAGCTTCCATATTTTCATCTAGCAAAATGTTAGTAGTCTTTAGATCTCTGTGCACTATTGCAGGCTTACATCCATTATGCAAATAATCTAATCCTGCAAATTCATTTTGTAACCAAATAAATTCTATAATTATTGTTATTTAGACTTACATTTAAGAATCAAACCGAAACAGAACTTAAAACGACCCTACCAAATGAATAATATAATCTCAATTTGTATAGGAGAATATTATTTTTCATAAAAAATAAAAGTTAATTAAGTCACTTGAAAATATCTAAATATAATTTGTTTATATTACATATAATCTAGAAAATCATGGTGATAAAAGTTTTCTTTTCTATTCAAGTAAAGAAAAAAAAACTCATAAAAGGTTAACAAATAATCTCTTTAAACCATAGTATATGACATTGGTAATTTATTCACGAGAAACATTTGTTGAAATTTTAATTTTTTTTAAAAGTTTGTATCATTTCAATTATATCCTCATTAAATACTTCCTATAAAAGTATTGATAATGTCAATTGAAATTCAAATGCATTATTTTTGTTTAAAAAAAAAGAATAACAAATGAATTAGGAGCATAATTAAAAAAATAATTATAAAAGTAACTCAATACCCTATATTTTGGACAAGTAAGGTTTTTAAAAAATATTCTATATTATGATTCGGTTTTGCTTACCACACGCTGCATCCAATGCAATTTGAAGCCTGTCGTTCCATTTCAAAGAATCCCCATGGTTACCTATATATAACTAGTAGAATTAGATTTCTTTTATGCATGCCTGCTTCAAATTGCTCAATGAATTAATGGAAACATATCCCATTGTTGCTAGAAAATGCATACATACTTGTTGTTATAACTTGTTTAGGACCACAAATTTCTTGTCAAACATGACTTGTATTTATAATTGGAGGAATATCAATCAATACCAGTGTATAAATTTCAACATACTTTGTCTTTGAATTTAACTCTTTGACACAAAATTTCATACCTGATAAATGCCGGCGGAGGTCGCCATTGGCCATATACTCATAAATTAATGCCCTGGCGCCCCTTTTTTCACAATATCCAATCAATGAAACCAAGTGTCTATGATGAACAACCATCAAAAGTTCTACCTGCAATTAAAACTTAACTTTAATTTTATCAAATACCTACATACATATCATAATGAGCTAACATAGATCAAAATCTTGTTTCAGCTTAAATGTCTCATAAAACAAGGCATCCTTGAGTGATAAAAAATTAAAGTTGATTTAATTGTCGACCTCACCTCCGATCGAAATTCTTTATCACCTTGCACTGATGACGGAGAAAGTAACTTTACAGCAACTTGAGTATTATCATTCTTAAGAGTGCCTAAATAAACCTTACCAAATCCTCCTTCTCCAATCAAGTTTTGTAAGTTATTCGTGATATCAAGAACGATGGAGTAAGAAAATGCTCGCTTTCTAAGTTTTGATGATTCATGCTTAGTAAATTTCACTGCAAATGTGAATAAGGATATATAATCAGAACTGCCAATCATATACGTATGATTAATGGGGCAGATAAAGATATATCGACTAGTTTTAAAACTATGGACTTTAGAAGTTTTCTCTTCCATTTCAAAGGGAATGGTTTCCATTGTAAGAGAGTGACATCTGTAATTTCAAACTACTATGAGATAACGAAGCAGAAAGTTTACAGGGAATTAATTTCTCGTGCTAACCTTTAAGTCCTTTCATTTTGAAGACCCACATTCCTAGAGAAACCAATATTACAACAGCCAAAAGAGCTGAAGCAGATGCTATAAGTGGAATAACGAACTTATGTTTTTTGCATGGATCCGTCAAGCAAAGACCAGGATTATCATCCAACCTGCAAGATAAGTCAAATAATACATTAGTATTATCACATGAGTTGAGCAACCGAGATAGATTAAAACGAGAGAAACCTCATATCCAAATCTGACTTGTCCTTAAGACCTTTGGGAATTGAACCTGTTAGCTTGTTGCCACTCAAATTACTACAAAAACAATGTATCAAACACTTAGTAGGCAAGCTATATATTGAAGTATTTAAAGTATGAGATTATTATTAGTAAATTATATACAATGTCATTCAAAACTCACAGGATTCTCAAGTTCGGCAATTCAACTAGAAATTCTGGTACTTCTCCGGTTAAGTCGTTACCTGATAGATCCCTAAAAGAAACAATAGTTTACATAACGAAACTCTTATACAGAAGACTCTCAAAAATTTAATCACTATATACTTACAAGGATTCTAACTCTGTAAGTTGTGAGAATGAAGTAGCTATGCGTCCTGTCAACCTGCTCACGCTCAAGTTTCTGCTTGCCATAATGATCAATAAATATTAAGAAAGGTGGTTATGAGATTTTCTCAAGTATAGCTTAATTAGTAGTTAATGCACTCATGGAAAAAAATATAAATGTTACAAGCACGTGGTATAAAGAGAGAGTCAATTTTAAAAGACTAGCATATTGAGTGAAAGAGTCCTTTACACTTATAAACTTCACTCCATTTGTTTGGTTAAACTCATGACAGAGAATTTGACCTGAGTCAAGTCAATCACATCGGAGCTGTTGAACTTATCACACTAGTTCGTACTTACAGTGAGGTTACCCTTGTGTTGGAGTTATTTATACTGGGACTGCAGCCAAGTCCCCCCCATGCATATTCTTCCGGAACACATGGGTCACCTTGCCAATCTACTTTGGAGATCTTGTATGTATTTTTGATATCCACAATGGTATCCGCTGTTATTACCGCAGAAAACAGTGTCTCAGGAGTGAATGCCCAAAAAAAAAGACACAACCCAACACACAAGTAAGCTGGTCGAGGAATAAATTAAAGAAGCATATATATATATATATATGCATACCATCTCTTTGGTCCGTCGGGGAAGTTAGCTCTGACATTAATTTATAAGTCTCAAAGGCATTGAGAATTGGAGGAGCATCAGATTCTGATGTTGCACTTATGCTGAAGCGAAGACCATCTTGATTTATAACATCAGTAACTGTCACCGGCTTTAAGTATTCAAGAGTTATAGGCTTTTGAAGGATGCTTTCATTATTAACAGTAATATCTATTACCCTTTTCTGTCCAGGGGGAAGCTGCTCAATTTCAACAAAGTGAAAGTATACATAATATTTGAAAGACTTTTCAAGTGAATAATTCCAAGCAGAATCAGAGTCAAAGTATAAAGCGGAGGAGCGATTCAAAGATTGGACTGCAGACATCAACACTTCAGTTGGTAACCTATAAGAATCATTTCTGCTTCCAGGGTCAATATCTACAGGTCTAGTCAACGGCTGCCAATGTTCCAGTTTAACAGCATCGTCCACACGCCACACACGATCATAGACATCATCCTTGAACCTATATGCTTGCAATATTAGATGAGTGATACGAGAATTGTTTCTATGAATAATGTTACAGAACATGCAAACACAGGGTACAATACATAAAATTAGAGCCACCTGCTGAACACTTCACGAGTCAACTGAATGGAGCCAACATCGGTTCTTGTATCAAGGACTAATAGTGAAGGGGACGGAGTTTGATAAATAGAATTGCCGAGAGGTCGAAGTTCCAACGTAGAAATGAAGGGTATTCCTTTGCCAGTCTTGACAAGGCAAACCTGTATGGTGTCGGTTGTGGGAGTATGGATAATCTCTCGATACACATAACCAGCACCTGGAATAACATTTGTCCAATGATTGACGCCGAGGTACAAGTCGAAAGCTCGAGTTTCATTTTTTCCATCATAATTTCCATATGAGAAAAAAGCTCTGATGAGATAATTGTTGTTTTTGCCCTGTTTTGGTTTCAAAGTGTAACAGTTCCTTTTGCCTTCTGGGAAACTTCTCAGTGTCTGCAATTGTCTCCCAAAATAACGAAAATCTAGGACGTATCTCCATTCAGGTGCCACCATAAAATTTTTTCCTGTTTCTACAAAACCTGTGTCTGTGTGATACGAGATTCCAGTTTGTGGGTCAGTGTATTCATAGCTTTCCCCACAGTCAATGCTTATGAAATCTGTGCGCACAAAAGTTGAGACAATTTTAGATTGATTGAAGTACAGCAAAACATGGTTGGTTTAATATTTAAATTTGAAGGAAAGCTTGTTAACCAGTGAAACATCTGTAAGGTTGGACAAAGGTAAAAGTCATAAGCTTTAACGAACTTAAACATACAAAGTAATCTCACAAAAACTTTGGGCTCTTACCAGGGTGAGTGACGTCGTTGGTGGTGAGTAATTTCCTTCCATCTAGTATTGCGTCGCCAAGATTAAGTAAAAGTTCGATCAAGATGAAGCAGAGAATCCATTGTGGTGCCCTCCCCATGTGATTTGTTGAATTCTATGAAGACGCTATATACATCAAGCTAAGTAGCTCATATAATAATAACAATTATTACATTATAGGTCAGAATAAAAATCCAATCAACTCATGCAGTTAAACCAATAGGCATTAAATAAGTGTCTTAACTAATTTCATAAAATGTTTTGTTTACTATAAATTTGATCATGATTTGATTATGATTTTAATAAGTAATCCTTGAACTAATATCCTTACCGGTCCAACGATTTATTCAGTTTTCAGTGCCTTGTATTATAGTAAGTATACAAAAGAGTAACTATCCAGTTAAAAATAGAAATGAACTCACCAAGCTTGAGATCTCAAATTCAAGCCAAGATGCGAGCAGCGGTTTGATCGTACTTCAGTGAAGTGTGTTTGGGTGGAGGGGGTGGGTGTGTTTATATAATAGTCTATTCAGTGTATTTGGAGTTGACTTTGGGTATTGTTGATTACTTGTTTTATGGTTAGAGTAGAGTTTTAAAAAAATAAATAGTTAATAAGGCATAAATATATTAAATAATAATAAAAGTAATATATTTCATTTTGGGAGAAAAATACAATCATTGATCCCTATAAAATTATATGAGATTTCACTTTTAGTTCATGTAGTTTTTTCAGTATTTTTAGTCCTTATAAGAATTGAAAACATTAAAATTATAAGAACTTGAAAAACAAACATCACTCAATTTTGCTGAAACTATAAGAAATGAAAGTTCTAAAAAAAATTATAGAAACTAAAAATAAAACTTGATTAAACTATAGGGACTTATAATTGTGTTTTTCTTTCTATTTTTGTATAAATGAAAAAAGAAGCCTTTTTTTCTCTAGCTAACAAAATATACTATAGCATTTATTAAAAAAAATACTAGCATTCATCATTTAATTTCTATCAAGCTTTTTAAGTTTTTTTTCTTGGGCTATGTATCCTCCTATTAAAGGCATTGTTTAGTACTAATGTGGGTATCTCTCAATAGGAATTTAAATCTTTACAATAAATTAATGATAAGTAACCATGAGTGTATTTTATTTTTGTTATCCTTATATCTTCTTCTATTAGAAGTAATCATGTTTAAGACACTATCAGGTACTAAATATGAGCACTTCTCCCAATAGAGATTCACATATTAGTTCGCAAGTTATGAGGGACTAGTTCTTTTTGTTAAACTCAATTTCCATAGGTAACCATGGGTGCATATGGTTGATTCTTGTGTCAAACTCCCTCCGTCTTAAATTTTAAGATATTTTTGGATAATATACCATATATTAATTAAATACATTTAACAATATTATTTTTCAAAACAAAAATAATATAAACTTATAAAAATATTTTTAATTTAATATATTGAAAAGAAAAAGGGACGAAAATTAAATAAAGAGAGAAAGGATAATATTAGGATAAATTTATTTAATAAAATATTAATTTTTTTAAAATATTTTATATTTTAGAGCGTCAAATCTCTCTCAAAAGTTTTTAATAATTTGGGATAGAGAGAGTACATATTAACAATCCCAATAAAAACATATTATACGGCATATTAATTGCTCTAATTCCGAGCTTAGGATATAATCAAGTTTCATTTTAACCAGCGAACAATTGTAGTCCAGAATGAATCGATAACTCAACTTTAAGATGAGGAATGATTAATTTGACTTTTTAAATTTGAAATTATTAAATGTATAAAACAATATTTAAAAAAATCCAGTTCTGGCGGTGGCAAACACCGATACTCATAGTCATTGCCCTATTGGGACCGGAAAATCACAAATAAAGACATGCAAAATCAATAATAAATTAATAACAATGGGGAACCATAAAATTTTAAAATTGAATTAAGTACCAGAGTCCTTTTCTGCTATTTGCAAATCATTGTTATGACTAAAATACATATAAAAGAAAGTGATTAAATGTACATATGAGACAGTAATGTTTTAATCAAAACATGATTTTTTAAACAGTAAAAAAGAATCATGGTCATGAAATTCAACTTTAATATTTTGTTGTCCTGAATGATTATTGTAATGATTGTTACAGATTGTTAATTAGTTGTAATATTTCCTTGCGTATGTTTTCCTTTTTGCAGACCAAATAAAATAATAATACAGTTCCTGATCTTTCCTTGCCGATGTCGCTAGCGTGTGAATTCTGCTCGACAGCCTGGTAACGAATTGTCTTTGACTCGGGGAAATCTCACCGTTTTGAAAATCACTAAAGTGATTGATTTGGTTGTGCCAAGCGGTTGACTGCGTGGCTTTCAATTTTGGGAGAATTTCAATTCAGTACTTCTGTAGAGATTTAATTTTAGGTGATGAATCCAAAATTGTTTTGCAATTTCAGCTTAGTCTATAGAAGAAAAGTTAAAAAAATTTTATCAGTAAAAAACTAAAATATCCTTAACTTGTTGTACAGAATTACTAGTTGTTAATTTTTTTATTTCACTTATTAATTTACGAATATGAATTGCAAATTACATGAGTTGACATGTCTATAATTATATAAAACTTAACATTAGTTTTTTAATTATAAGCAGCAACATCAATTGTTAAATTGTAAATTTTACTTGTTAATTTATTAACATCAGTTATAAATTACTAATAGGTCTAGTAATTTACAAAAATCAATTGTAAATTTTATGTAATTTATAACTGATGTTAGTGAATTAACAAATAAAGTTAGTAAATTAATAACTAATGTTATTGATTGTTTGGCAAACAGATGTAATTTACCAGTGATACTAATAAATTAATAAGTATAATAAGAAAATTAATAACTAATAATTCTGTATAATAAGTGAAGGATATTTTAATTTTTTCACCGATGAAATTCTTTTGACTTTTCTTTCTTAGATTGAACTGAAATTTAAAAAAAAAATTTAAACCCACCTGAAATTAAGCTTCTACAAAATAACTGAAATTTTCCTTTCAATTTTTTCCACTCTCTCCTCCCAAAATTCCTCATTTCGACACCGTTTTTCGTTGAGATAAGGGCTTCTAGTCGTTACTCTTCTCCCTCTCATTTATAAGTAGAGATGATTTTTTCTTTATTCTAATTATAAAGTATAATATTAATTATGTTATCACACGTTTTCTCCTGTGCTCTTATTAAATATTGATTATCTATATTATTAAAAATTATTTTCTTAAACTTCTCACTCACTTCTTTATAAATAAAATAAAGTTGAGGATTATTAAATTTTTAAATAAAAGTAATAAAAATTAAAAAACATCAATAAAACATATTGGAAGTGTTTAATTATAACTAGCATTGAAGGAATTGTTTTTCTTATCGGTCCAATTCCCACGCGTTTTTGCCAGATGGTGGCCAGGACGATGTTTACTTGACCCGTAGAAATTTCATCATTTCGAATTTACTTGGGAGGAAGGTCGTTGGGTGTGCTCACATTTCAACTCTAATCTCCAAATTTCTAGTCCATAGGCGTTTTTTCCCTGACGTCAAGGACTATAAGCCCCGTTTGTCATGAGATACTTAACCTCATGTACAGTTCCCCCCAATGTAACGCCACGTGACTTGACTTGGTTATAGCGGTACCCATGCAAGCATACACGCATAGTTGATTTGGTCCGACTAAATGATGTGCTGTTTTTTTTTCCCATACATTTGATTAACGTTAAATAGCGACAACCATAAACATTGTCTCACTAGATGGGAATAATCTATTATTTATATTTACGTGAGATTTTACAAAATTTTATGCTGGTCATCGATGACTAATATAACTCATCTCTTTTATTCAACCTTAGGACTTGTTATAAAACGTAGGACTAAAATTAAATCAGACACATTTTACCCAAAATAAATTAAATCAGACACATCAATTCTTTTATGTATTGTATCAAAATTTATAAAATTATCACCCTAATCATGGCTTATAAAATATAGTGCTATTTGTTATAGATTTATGGGTACATATTATATATCAGGAGCTAAAATACATAAACAGATATTTATTAATTTAAATTTAAATCTCAATATATATATATATATATATATCTTCGTACAAATATCCTAAATATTATGAACCTAAAATTTTGCCATATATTTAAGTTAGATAGAGTGTTTAAATAGATAAATATTAAGTTAAATATACATATAATGAAATTTGAATTTCAAATAGGTAAAAGTAGATTTTTAAACACATAATACTTTTTGTAAATATTAAAAAATATATATTAATATAAATTTTAATCATAATATATATGTAGTATATATACATGGAGTTGTGGGCGTCGAGTTTAGCCACAATAACTGTGAATATATATGTCAAATTTCATATATTAATAAAAATCATATTTATAATTTTTGAGATCCAAGATGATAGATTTAAATAGTAAAACAAATTTTTAATTTTTAATTTAAACAGATATGTATTAATTTAAATTTGAATCTCAATATATATATTTGCATACAAATACCTTAAATATTATGAACCTAAAATTTTACCATATATTTAGATTGGATAGAGTGTTTAAATAGATATATATTAATTTAAATACACAAATAATCAGATTTGAATTTCAAATAGGTAATAATGAATTTTTAAACACATAATATTTTTACTAAATATTTTAACAGATATATATATTAATATAAATTTTAATCCTAATATATATATATATATATATATATGTATATACATGGAATTATGAGTGTTGAGTTTTGTAACATCAGAAAAGTTTTAACCTTGATTTGTTAACTTAATTAGGGTAATTAGTGAGTTAATAAGGGGTGTAGTCAAGGGGCTTAACTTGGCATAATTGATGTGATTTCAACCCTAGAGTGGGTTTGAATTGAAGGCGGGCCACTCGGGTAAGGAAAGAGGATGAAAAAGTGAAGGGTTGTATTCTATGCCACCCACTGCAGTGCGTGGTTAGTCTGCCACGGCACATGGATACAATTTAAACATAACGGGCTCCTTTGTGCCATGCGCCATAGTGGAAGGGAATGTGCACCGCAACGCACGGCCAAAAATCTGATAAATCTGATTCATGAGTTGCATAAAAATAGAAGAGGAAGAGAGGAGAAAAACAAAGAGCTTGGTTTTGGCTCTGTTATGGCACGATATTTGGCCTAATTGTGGATAGGTTGAAGTTCCCGAACACCCAAGGTAAGATTATCGTGCTTCCTTCTTCCTCTCTCATTTATGATTATTTGTGGTAGGGTTTGAGTTAAGAGATGGATTTTCGTCCATAAGAGTATGGGTCATATTCCATTAGTTAAAATGAGATTAATGAGAGTGATTTAATGTATTGAAACACCATATTAATTTTTAATAGATATATATTAATTTAAATACATAAATAATCAGATTTGAATTTCAAATA